GCTGAATTGCACAAAACGCATGATCGCACCGGCTAGTCTGGTGCGCGTTGCCATTTATTTTTTTTAATCTCAATTTCCGTGTTCCCTCCTGCACTTTCTTGTTACCTGTCTCGTTTCCCCGTAGTCTTTTTAAGAGATCCCGTGCTTCCTTACCAAAAATTATGCGGAAATTTAGAAAATTCACCGTCCCCTCCTTCGTTCAGCTTCTGTGCCGCTCGACCAATCTGTTTTCCAATCAGCGAGTGATGCTTGTGCACAAACGGTTGTATAATGCGCGCGTATATTTTCTGGGCGCCCATTGTCATCGGTGCGAACAACCAGACCAGAAAAAGACACTGTACCGGAAAATGAGTAGTTTTATCGAAAAATTACAAAACTTGACACATAAAAGTACACTATATCAGAAGTTTTTGTGAATTTTCTCGAAAACAAAAAAATATGAAGCGAGTGTAATGCTGGTAAACTACAAGCATGTTAATTTTGCTGGATTCGATGTCCACCGACGCACAGTTTATGTGAAATGCAGGTAAACGAGGCAACATTTTCAAATTTGAGGTGCAAAAACCTGTTATATTTTTGTTTCTGCTTAGTATCCTACACACACTTGCATGGCTGTTAATCTGTTTTACACTTCTGGAATTAAAAAAATTACGGAGAATTCTCTCCGCAAGATAAGGGGTATCGAGCCAAATGCATACGTATATATATGTTATATACATGTACATATAAGTTCACGTGATGCTACACATATATATATAATAATATGGGCATGACACACATACACATGCACACATACATACATACACACTGTTGCACCATTTTGTCAGTTCTCCCGTCACCGAAAATGAAGCTAACACGCATTGCAAGGATGGTTTTTTGCAGAGTAAGAGTACCTTGACAAGCCAATAAACTGGAATGTATGCCACAAAAGTTTCGGAGAAGAATTCCAGAATAGTGAGCAATGCAAAAACCACCCAATATGTCAACCACTGCGAATCATCATCCTTGCGCGAACTTTCAATTGCATTTATGCTGAAAAAAGAAAAGTGTATTTGAAATACCAGTGCCGCGTTCACAGGACAGAGCACCTACATTCAAGCAGAAAAACGGTGCCAAAATCATTCGAACGGGAACAGATAATAGCATAACACGAAATTTGCCCAGAGGAGCCCCAGGTGCGCCTCTGCCATACAAACGTTCACGTACGCCTAGGCCTCATGTACGGACACCCCAAAAAAAGTGCAAAAAGTTTTGGCAGGAGAACGAAGACAGGAACTTGAGAGATTTCAGAAGGATATTCCCTGCTCCTGTGCGATCTAAAGACTAAAAATTCGACTGTCAAGCATGTCTACGTCATATACATGCAGATAAGCCAAAACCAAAAAATTGATGTGGGGAACCAGACTAAACAAACAGTCCTGCCTTTACAACAGCATATATTGTTTAAACGCAGGCACGTAAGTGTAAAATGAGTTTTGGCGCACGTCTGTGTTGAACATTCGCTCATGTTTGACACAGTTGCAAAAAGCGATTCAAAACAAGAAACTAGAATTTTACGAGATATTCTAAGAGCATATGTGATATAAATATTTCAAATTCAGCTTCAAAACATGCCCAAATCTCGCAAGTGAAAGTTTAGTTTGAGCCGCTGCTGGCACCCAGTTAACTCGGTAATCAGAGTGAGCAGGCAAAATCGTTTTTTCTGGGAGTGTTTGCTACTGTTTGCTGGTCATATGCTGGCAGCAAGCGTCAGATAAGCTTCTGCTTAAGCATATGCTCCAGGCAGAGACGCACGGGACGTTCAAAATGCACCACTGCCGCTGTCCTCCTCTCTCGGTAATCAGAGAGGCAAGAAAGCCAAAATTTTACGAGAATACTGTCTGATTTTGAACGGCATGAAATACGAAACAGCAGCTATCGTGCATGCCAAAGTCTTACACATACGAAAATACTGCAAATTTCAGACTGCAGAACGCATGACTGTGCCAGCAACCTTGGTGCGCATCTCTGCCGAGTTAAGAGAAACGCATCTGAGCCGCTTCATGGGCAATACCATGAATGCAGGCAAAATCAGTGGCCAGTCCGTCGGTTTCTGAATACTTTTGGATCGAAGAAGCAAGTAATACTTACGACATATAAGTTGGGTAGAGAAAGCCGATGACATTACACAATAACTCAGCCGAATATCCAAACGCCAAGTACAGGACGTGAACTCCGACGAAACCTTAAAAGCATCCAGTGCAAACTCACACGTATCTCAGAACGAAACATCCCTCGCAAATTTCCAATCCAACTCACTCGTTGTGGTGTGCAGCCCGCAACGGACTAGGCAGCGATCTAGGATGGACATGATATACGAGTTCTAAATGTATGTTAATCTAAAATTCCTGAAGTTGTGGATTTCCTCTTAAAATTTCGGCTTTTCGCCACGACTGGTTCGAAGTTGGGAAATTTTCTACCAAAATGCACGCACCTGTGTCTGTTTTGTGTGTGTGTAAAAAATGGACACGAAACGTCCCTGTTAAATTTACAATCCCTAGCTTTTTGGTTACTCATTTAGCAGTTTTTCCGTCATAATTTGACATGTTCATACGTGAGACTTAGACGCACATAAAAAAAAAATCCAGGCACAGATGCGTGCACTCTGGCAGGAAATTTCCCAACTTCGAACCATGAAAATTGAATTTTAAATGTTTAGGTTGCACGGAGGCATTGGGTACCCTCGTTGAATTTCAACTTACTAATCTCTGTGGCTTTCGAGTAAGTTTCGCGTCAAAACTCCCATGTGAGATCTATGCGAATGTGAAAAGTAAATTTAAATATGCGGAATAGGACGCAGGTGCAAGTAGCGAAAATTCAAAAATTCACGCTTCCCAGCTTGTCTGCTTCTCGGGTGTTCAATCTGGGACAAAATCTGCGCCTGGACACGTGTACGAACACGCATACAACCACTGGCAGAGGCCCAACAGTATGCTTTTTGTGCAGTTCCTTCACAGCGCAAAACGTATAATAAAAACGGAGATTCAGTCACAACTAAAACATTTTGATCAAATCAATGCACAAACAGGCAACGATTTGGGGTAAAGTTTTTTTGCAAGTGTACTGTGAGACAAATTGGAGAAACGATGCGCAAGGCACTGATGTTCTGCAATTTTATTTCATCTCTGATGCGATGGCGCACTCGTCAACACAACAACAACCAATCCCTCCAGTAATTTAGTCATTCTTTTGGACTATCAGCCTGCTTCCAAGCAGCCCTCGGAGGAGGAAATTTTACATGGTTGCTGTTGGCATCTGCTACAGCTGGGCTACGAAAGACTCACTAAAATCCATATCGCTTTTAGCGCCAATGCCCCGCCGTGCGGCCACTGCATTATCACTTGCTGGTCAAGTCCTCTAGCACTGTCTTCTGTCTGGCTTTTTATCCCATAATGTATCGACACCAGCCAGTCTGCTGACACGATAAATAAATCAGTGTGCAAGTGTAGCGTCACACCGAAAAAAAAAAAA